CCCTCCCCGCGCCACCGCGGGTCCCCGGAGTCCTAGGGCCGGTCCGCGCCGCCGGCCGCGCGGGGACCCGCTTGCTCGCGACCCTCGGCAATCTACTCACTTGTTCTCCGAGCGCGTCCGGCTCTTCCCGGCTCCCTTTTCTTTTACCGGACTCCCGAAGAGGTTTTGTTCTTCGACTGAGACTTCTAATGGGGGGGAAAAGTTCAGGTGCGCTGCGCTCCTTCTAGGAGCAGAGCCCCGGAGAGGGCGGGAGAGGACAGGGCGGGCCACTCGCCTGCCTGCCTCTGTCCTGGGGAGAGTGCTCAGGGAATCTGTTCTAAATATCATGAGATTATTACTCGGGAAGGAAACGAAGGCATCTTCCAGAGTAGCACTGTCTGTGTCTAGGGAACCGGGAAACTGGAATCCCACTCAGAGTCTGGTGCCAAGGGTACATTTTGCGGGGAGAGGGAGATAGTTAATTAAATCTCATTTTTATGTCATCCATGATGCATACTGATTACCCAATTTGATTTACTCAGATTTATTCATGCAAAACACTTTGTGAGGCCCATTATGTGCCAGGCATTTGCTAGATCAGCGATTTTCAACCGGTGTGCCAAAGAACTTTTAAAACATGCAATACCTGACTGTTTAATCAGGGGCCCTCACCTCTTTTCTCTTAGGTTGTGAAATAAATGACAGTAGCCAATGCAACAATAGCCTTCCAGAGTGAGTGAATCAAAATTATACCTATTTTTTTTGTCAGATTGGCAAAATATATATATATTTGTGGTGTACCACAGAACTTTAAAATTGGTTGAAAATCAGTGTGTTAGATAGATGCTGGGACAATAGAAACAACTGATATACGGTCAGGGAGCTTACAGTCTGTGAGAGAGGTGGTTTGGAAAGAAGACGGGGAAAAATACATGTCCTATAGGAAAGGGTAGCTACTACCTGTTTTTTGTTTATTTGTTGTGTTTTTGTTTTTTAATCACAATGACTCATTTCCAGCTCATTAACTGTGGGGCCCAACATCTGCTAGATCTGTTCTCCCTGAAGGCAGGGAGACTGTTATCCATCTTTGGTGGCTGGAGGTCAACACTGTGCAGGTGCATAGTAGGTCATCAATAAGGCCTGTTAGATGAATGGATGAATTTGTAGTGAAAAGTGTCTTAGAGAAAAGTATATTAGGGGGACATGTAAAGAAGGAAGGGAATGAGTTGGATGTAACTTTAGAAAAATTTTGATTTTAGAGAGAGAGAGGAAGGGAGAGAGAGAAGGAAACATTGACTTGTTGTTCCATTTATGTATGCATTGATTGGGTAATTCTTGTATATGCCCTGAATGGGGATTGAACCCACTACCTTGGGAACAACGTTCTAACCAGCTGAGCTACCTGGCCAGGGCCAAAAAGAGAATGAATTGGGAAGGGAGGAAATACAGGGAGCTGGAGAGGGCAAGAGAGAAAAGAAGATAGGGTTCATAAACATTTGAAAGTATATATCCTTTAACAAACACGTTTTGTTTTCCATTTTCTTGCAATGGAAATTAGCAACACCCAATTCAGTTCACTATGCAGTTCATGAATTTTTGTGGACATTTAAGTGATAACTTTTTTAGAGTAGGATCTCTGTTAATTTACCATATGGAGGTCATATGCCATGCTCATGTGGATGTATTGATAATATGGTGACTGGATGTTTCTAGGACAGGGGAACAACTCAATGAAAAAATACTTTAGAATTACCAAAATAATTTCTTCCAACAGCTCATAATATTTTGCTACCTAATGTATATACTTTTATACCTGTAATTTAAAATTTAAGTTAACCATATGTAACTTAAACTTTATTAAAATATTTACACGTAGATTTTACCAATGAATATTGAACAGACATATGCAATACTGTCTTTGGTTTAATTAATTGAACCTAAGTTAGCATTGCACTCAGGTAGAAGATGATAAGTTCCAAGTTGAGTGATAAAGGTTTTCCCCCCATTAATTTAATTTTATTATTTTTACCAGAAAACTAAAGCTTTGTATGTTTTTCTTACATGTACAAACAGAGCTACTTATTTTTAAAATCAGTATTTATCAATGGTAATAATAATTCAGTGATTTGAGTCAAAGTTGATAAGCAGTAATCCTGGACTTAGTTTTTGGAACATTCTCAGTGCTATGTGATTGAAAGCGATCCTAGAATTTTTGTAAATCTCATTTTCTGTACTTACAAAATGAGAGTATTTTACGTAACTGACTTAATTAGGCATTTAAAATCAGAATATGTCAATTCTAGTGTTGATTTCATTAAGATACCAACACTTTGCAAGCAATTTGAAATTAACAAATAGAATAAAACTCATATTTTCCATTATTAGGCATTTTGCAGGTGTTTTGGGACATTATCAGAGTTCTAGGAAGAGTATTGTATTTGTGGAAAATATGTGGTGATTAAAAATCATATTTTATAAGTAAATGTAAATAAATACTTAAAAAGGTAGGTAAACTTTGGGATTCTTTAACCACACACTGAAATGTTTCTTCTGTCGTGGCTATTTGATTTGGATTATCACCAGAACTGCAGTTAGACAAATGACTATTTGGATGAATCTTTCGTATTTAACAAGGATACGTTCTAGAGGGCAGAACTTTATTTTGGACATATAGTTAGGGTACAGAAATACTGAGGTTATAGGAGGGTGGGGTCATAGATTTCCAACTTAAAAATTATCTGGCCTTGCCCCGCCGGGCGTGGCTCAGCGGTTGAGCGTCGACCTAGGATCCAGGCGATCGGGGTTCGATTCCAGGTCAGGGCACATGCCCGGGTTGCGGGCTTGATCCTCAGTTGGGGGTGTGCAGGAGGCGGCCGATCAGTGACTCTCTCATCATTGATGTTTCTATCTCTCTCCCTCCCTCTCCTTTGCTCTCTCTGAAATCAATAAAGATATATTTAAAAATAAAAAAGTTTAAAAAAAAATTATCTGGCCTACCCGGCTGGGCATGACTCAGAGGTTGAGCGTCGACCTAGGATCCAGGCAATCAGGGTTCAATTCCAGGTCAGCGATCAGGGTTCGATTCCAGGTCAGGGCACATGCCCTGGTTGCGGGCTTGATCTCCAGTTGGGGGAGTGCAGGAGGCGGCCGATCAATGACTATCTCATCATTGATGTTTCTATCTCTCTCTCTCCCTCTCCTTTCCTCTCTCTGAAATAAATAAAGATATATTTTTTAAAAAATAGTTTTTAAAAAAATTATCTGGCCTTGTTTTTGCAGATGAGAAAACTTTGGCCTAGAAAGAAGACATCCAAATTTCCCAGGATCACATTCAAACGCACAAAAGTTGCATATATTGTCCATTCATGCCTTCAGGGCACCTAAATACAGGGGCAATTTAAGGAAACTGCTTTCCTTGGCTTTCCTCTTTTCTCTCTTTTTCTCCAGCTCACCCCCTTCCCCAACCCCATCTCTGAGAGGGGTCCTACTTGCAGACCCCCTACTCTCACTGTTCCTGCTGCTTTTCAGGTCCTTCACAGGATAGAGCACCAAAGGACTCCCAGACTCACACAAGTCTAGGCCTAGGCAGAACTGTGAAATAGGTGAAGTTTGAATTGGGTGTCCTTCATATCTTCTTTCCTACATTTTTTTTTTTTTTAAATATATCTTTATTGATTTCAGAGAAAGGAAAGGAGAGGGAGAGAGAGACAGAAACATCAATGATGAGAGAGTCATTGATCAAGCCCACAAGCCGGGCATGTGCCCTGACCGGGAATCGAACCCTGATCGCCTGGATCCTAGGTGGATGCTCAAGCGCTGAGCCACGCCCAGCCGGGTTCTTTCCTACATT